ACCTTGGGAAAATTATGAGCGGTGCCGGCAGTAACATATGCCGTGATTTTTTAACCAATTTTTCTGCAACTTCTCCTTGCAGAGAAAAACGGAGAGACGAGTGACAGCGGGGCTTCACACTCCAAGGACACTGTAGCAAAATGAGGTAGTTTGTCATTTGCGGCGCTCAATAGACTTTCATCGGCTATTCTCCCGGCAATTGGTCTAAGGGAATTTACGCGGGATTAGAAGCCGGACTCGTACATACAGGAGAAACCAAACTCAATATGTTCTCAATGTAACCTTGGAGATTGTCGTCAAATAAAAAGTGAAAACAAACAAAGAGGGCAATGAGCACTAGTTGTGCATTGATCACCGATGTATGAAGATGTGTGATGACTGAAATAGTTTTTTTTCAAGTGACTATTTCAGTGTGCATTTAAACATTTCTTGAACATTATTGTTTTTTGTCAGATTCATTAATTTTTTTCCCGTTACTTACGAGTGCTAAATTATTTTTATTGCCTGTTTTTCTAATTATAGAGCCTCAATGCATAGAATTAACCCGGAAAATCATAATTTCTCGTATCATTTTCTCAAATAACTTTCATATAAAATCTAGATGAGTTTTGGAATTTTAACAGACTTTCAAGCAAGATTTGATTTATCACCCACTAGTGTTTTTTTCAATAGTACATTATTTTTTTGAGATATGACAATTTCTCCAATTAAGAGTGAATTGTTATACTAGTTTTCATGAATTCGTTTTTTGAATTTCATTGATCCAAATAATTGTGGCAGAATTTTCCGAGAAAAGACTTTGAATTCAATTTAAGGCGAAAAAGTCGATGAAATTTTCAGTTCCTCTGAAAATTTAAGTGAAGTGCCAATTTTTTTGCGGCAAGAAGACGGGAATTCCATAATTTCCATGAATTTTCAAGTGAAAATGATTAATCGCTGTCAAATTCCCTTGGTAAACTCCTCTTCCCTCATATCTCTATTCATTTGAAAAACAGAGATAAGTATTCGTGACACTGAACACTTCTCTCTGTAAAGTATATTCCCCAAGTTTTCCTCACACAATTGCCAAAGGGAAAACTTTCGAACCCACAAGAGTTATTCTTGGTGGAGTGCACCCAGCGGATGGAGGGTATAAGGATTATTCTCGCATCGTTGAGCCGGCATCACGTTAACCCGACGTTTGGCGTCGAGAGGGTGGTGGTGAATACGGAAAGAAGGGCGGGGGAGGGAAAGAACTTGCCTATTAAGTTTCTCAGGAGGCAAGTTTAGCATAGACTGGGGTCGTCGGGGAAAACTCCCGAGTGGAAGTTGAGATGGATCCGGTTGACTCCTTAATGTTGCATCGAACACCTCTCTCTTCGGGTTTATTTGCCATCATCAGTTCATTCAACGCCTGTCTCGTGAAGTATTAAATTCTCACTTTGTTGCGGTTGCTTTGGAAATTGTCAAGTTTAGACTGTTAGAGAAAATATGAAATTGAAATTTCATGGACAGTCGAGTAGTAATTCACGAGAGAAGAACTTTCAGTGCAATTTAAGGGGAAAAGAATCAGGAAATTTCAGATTTCACTGAAACGAGAATTCCTCAACCCAATTGAATTTTTCATGAAAATATGGGTATTCATTGCCTATTTACGTTGGATTTTCAATTAATTGTTTACAAACATTCTCATTGCAAAAAGCAATGCGACCGATGAGAATCATATGTCCCAATTTATCAGCTGTTAAATTTTCATACTACAATAAATCATTTGCTCATGTTTGAATTCCTATGCTCACTGAATAAGATTGTAATCATAATTACAATTCAATTCCTTCTAAAACACGCTTTAGAGTGTGAGTTTCTGGAATTCAATGTCTGTTGATACTCTGGTAAAAGTGCATGCCCACACTGTTATCAATTTTTAGTTAGTTGACATGATAATTCAATTAATCTGTTGTTCATCTCATTAATATAATTCCCCGAGTCGAATAATTGGACCTGACAAGTTCTACTTAGGTCTTTCCGTTCAGAACTGGATAGGTCATCGAAAGCCTCTTCCCAACTGAAAATTTGACCCCTTTGAAAATCTAAAAAAAAAACTTTTTCAGTTTTCACTTTTTCCATATACTTTTGAGAGTTCTGAATAGCCCGTTGGTAAAATAGTTGGAATCTACGGTGACCCGGCTAAAAAATTCGATTTTGGCGAAAGTCGACTTTCCCCCGGGAAAAATCCAGGATCTGACACTTTGGCTCTCGTGGCCCTTGTGACCCTTTGACCGGCTTACCCTCTGAAAAAATCCAAGATCTGGCACTTTGGCCTCGGGCGAAAATTTTTTTTTTTCAGTTTTCACTTTTTCCATATACTTTTGAGAGTTCTGAACCGCCCGTCGCTTAAATAGTTGGAATCAACGTTCATCCGGTTAAAAAATTCGATTTTGGCAAAAGTCGACTTTCCCCTTGGAAAAATCCGAGATCTGACACTTTGGCTCTCGTGACCCTTGTGACCCTTTGACCGGCTTACCCTCTGAAAAAATCCAAGATCTGACACTTTGGCGAAAAAATTTTTTTTTCAGTTTTCACTTTTACCACATACTTTTGAGAGTTCTGAACAGCCCGTCGCTTAAATAGTTGGAATCAACGTTCATCCGGTTAAAAAATTCGATTTTGGCGAAAGTCGACTTTCTCCCTGACAAAACCGAAAATTTGACCCCTTTGAAAATCCGAAAAAAAAAACTTTTTCAGTTTTCACTTTTACCACATACTTTTGAGAGTTCTGAACAGCCCGTCGCTTAAATACTTTGATGTTGAGTCGCAGCTTTTCTTCATTCATATCAGAAATTTTGTATTTAAATATTAATATTATTTGTTCAAAGTGAAAAAATCGATAATTATTTTCCCTATATTGCATTCAGATTCTTCTATCCGTAACGTCAAAAATATGAGATAATCTCATCATTCTAGCTATTCATTCTAATCCACTTTGTTCGAAAGAAACCTTAGTAAATGCAATATTAAGAAAGTAGAATTATTCTATTTTCCTCTGACCTAAATGATTTGGACAATTATTATTTTTTTTTGTCGTTATTTTACATCGCTTAGACCCGGTTAGGGTATACTGCGATGATGATCAACACTTTAAATGGTTAGATGGCACCATTCTACCCGGCCGGAATTTAAACTCGGAACCTTTCGCATGTGAAGCAACGGACTTACCCACGGCGCCAAATTTGGACAATTACGATTCGTTTATTCATGTTTTATAGAATGCCTCCTTAATTTCTCCATTCGTTCGAGATATCTGCCTTGTTCGAGTTGTCATTTTCACTTCGAGATATTGTCCATACTTGTTTTGGAAAGGAATTTTTTTTTAGAAAAGAATACCGGAACTTTCATAATTTCTATCATTTTTCAGGAGATAATTAATCTGAAATTTACGGTTCTCAATTAAGTTGCGAAATTTCCATTTCACTCCCACTGAAAATTCATGAATTTCATGAAAACTTGAAATTTCATAATCGTTTTTCCCTAAATCCGAATCAATGTCACTCTCATGAGATTTACCATAATATCGTCCATGAAATTTCACAAAATCGTTAACAGTGTACCAGGGGTAAGTTTCAAGCTTTCCTAGTAATATTCAAGTAATATTAAATAGTGAATTTGCTCGTCTCTTCCAATTCCACTAGTACACCTCGAGAAATAATACATAATCCCTCAAACATTCTAAAAATGCGGTACAGACCGTTGATTAAAAATCTGGGTTAATTCAATCGTAAAACGGGGGATAGCTCATCACAGGATCAATGACGGAAACCAAACCCGATGGAGACCAATTAAAACCGGAGGCTCGCAATTAAACCAGATCGCTCTCTCCCTCCACTGTCTATTTTCCCTCCCGATTTACAGTTGGAAATCTCCATCCCGATTTTCTCCCACTTCCGTTTTTTCTCCCTCACCCCCCGAGTCGTGAGAATCCGTTACCTCGTTACGGCGTTTTCAGAGCAATTCTCCATTCGAGTTAAGTGTTCCAATGTCGGAGCTCACTGTTGACGATATGGAGGGGTCTTTATTCATTCCGCACCGAGATGTTTTCACCGCTAGGCAGTCTCTCAAGTAATCTCATCAGTCTCCGAGATTAAGTTATGCAAATGACCATTAGGAAAGACGAGACTGAATAAACTTCATAATTCTTGAGCAGAAAAAAATGATGTTTTGAGAAATTAGTTTGCTTTTCTAATTTGAAATTAAAGCACTGAGAGATCTCAAGGGGCAGGATGCCATGAGGATCATGAGGGTCCTCAGAGTCAAATATGAGCGATGAGGGTCAGGGTCTTGCATAGCCGCTATCTGTGAAGACCAGACAACATCGACAAGGGTCAGACGTTCATAAATTTGACATCCATAAGATCAAAATGTCATGAGGGGCGGGCTAATAAAGATCAGCCTCATAAAGGCCTGAATATTGTATATGTAATGTTTATAAGGGTCAGGAATATGATAAGGTTCAGGGTGTCGTAAGGGTCAGATATCGTAAGGGTGGTAAGGTTCAGGTCCATGAGGGCCAGAATTACAAACATTTATAATCTATAAAGATCAATGATTTGATTGAGTTTCAAAATGTCATAAGGGTTAGATATCATAAGGGTCGTAAGCGTCAAGCTCGTAACAATCTGCCTCATAAGGGTCAGAATCTCAAATATGAGAAATCCATACGGGTCAGAAGTTTGATAAAGTTCAGGATGTCGTAAGGGTCATAAGGGTTTATAACAATCAGGCTCATTAGATTCAAAACCAAAAATGTACGACATCATAAGGGTCAGGAGTCTCATAAGGTTCAAAATATCATAAGGGTCGTAAGGGTCAGGGCAATAAGGATCAGAATCCCAAATACGTGAAATCCATAAAGGTCAGGACGTCACAAGGGTCCTAAGGGTCAGCCTCTGAGGCTCACATAGAGAAAACAATCTTTATACCTGAACCTTCAATAACTTCAAACCAAAATAATTTTTCTGTTTCAGATGACATAGAATGGGTTGGGTGGCGCTAGGGCGGCGTGCGGGTGGTGGCGGCCGCCTATCATCCAACCTCTCGCTGTCTTTCGCCTCCCTCGCAAGTTCCTTCATCCTCACCACTCTCTGTATCCTCACCCTAGCCCTCACCCTAGCCACCCTCGTGCGTGCCGAGGACATGTACGTATTCAAATTCTTATCCAGACGAAAAAATTAAAAAAAAAAAAAAAATCACCCCATGTTCATTAAACCTTGAATAATACGCAGCTGAATAATATTACTATCTAAATTGCAACGAGCTGAACTACTCTCGAGTGTCGTATATGTTCATGAATATGCATCAGCTTTTTTTCATCCGAGTATAGTCAGTAGTCTAAAGCCGATAGACACGAAGTTCTGGTATTTCTCGGAATTAATATGCAGACTATCATTTTTAGACTTCAGGTTTGTCATCGATTTTTAATAAAAAAAAACTAGAGTTTATTTCGAGAGAGTCTGTAGTAGTGACATAAAAGGTCGTTTTGCTGAAATGTGACATTATCATAGAAGACTCTAGTATTTATTAATTGATATAGTGCCTCGCAGTGCCAGGGCTCCAAGAGCTCATGATTTATTGCATTTGAGTGAGAGAATAGGCGCAAGCCAGGGCTGATAAAGAGACGTGGAAAAATCATCACGGAGTCGTTTTTTTTTTTAAACTGGAGAATGTTCTTTGCAGCTTCGAGGAGGGCAAATCGGACAAGGAAATACTGGACAACTTGCTGCTGTCGACACGTTACGATAAGCGGCTTCTACCACCGGTCCAAGGTACACTACGGCCCCCACCCCACACCCGTGAAGACGAATACGTATCCGATCACCTTGTACCCAATGACCAACCATCATCCAACTACCCCGAGCACCTCGAACATCATCGGCACCAATACCATCACACAGCACGACACAACCACAGTTCACTGCTCACCTCTCGTCGAAAGGGTATCTTTCATTGTGAAAGTAACGCAACATGAACAGATTAACAAGCTAACTCAATTAACGAAACAAGAGAGGATATTTTTTTTTCCAAGTCGTTTGGTTGATAGCGAGGGAGAAGGACATTTCTTCTAGGATTGTTTGCCCGCCATTTGAATGGCTGGTATGGTAGGAGATTTAACTGCGACGCACGCGTCGTCGAAAAAACTCTGGTTTTGATTTTGGCTTGTCTTAGGGTGGAGGAAACTTTTCTGTTGACTGAGATGTGGGTTGTTAGGTGTTGATTTGAGGATCTGATTGATGCAGCGCTTGGTGCAAGCGCCTTCACTTTTGCATTTCAAAGGCTTTTCAACGGTCACGATGAAGTGAAGGTTATCCATGATTAAGTGACATCATGACTGCGATGTTAAGTTCATTTCACGCGATTACAGCGTTGTCTTCAAGGATCACGCAATGTGATTCCATGGCTGCAGTTGATTTGGAATGATTTCATTGGTGTTGATTGATTTCGTTGTTTTCAGAAGACTTCAGATCTTCTGATGTCTATCCTTTGATTATCTGGTGTTGTTCATCAGCAACATTAAACAAGAACAAGCGCCATGGTCTGTGAAGACTCCTCTTATCTCAGTATCCAAAACACTTGGAACTGCAAAAAATAAATCGTTAAATTGCTGCGGTTAAAGTAGATGAATTGGATCGATTTCGGGTATCAAAGAGGCAGTCACAAGTTCAGCAACTAATTGTTGCTCCAATGTGGGTTCATCATAGGTGAGATCCTGTTACATATCCCCTCCAAGAAAGCTCATTAATAATTTCCCGCACGTCGAAATTGCATAACCCCTGCCTTCATCAGTCGTTGATTCAGTCTCGGGGGATGTACGTCAGGCAAATGTAACATCCTCATATCACTGGAGGATTTATTAATGGTACTGGAAGAGATCGAGCCCAAGCTGGGAGACAGCTGTTGTCGTGACAGTAGTCTACACTTCCGAGGTGTACATGAGTGCATTTACTACAAGCGATTAACATGTCATTCACTCGTCAGTGTCCCTGTCACCGTACACTGAGAGAAAGAAGAAACATTTTCTCAAACAAGTCTAAACGAAAATCTGGTGCTGACCATTTGAAGACTTCTGAGATGAAAAATTCATTTGTTCGTAATTTTTAACTAGCGATTTTTTGGTCCAAACAAGCCTCGGTTGAGAATGTGTTCGTTTTTATCTCAAAATGTAGAACACTTCAACCATCTTCTAGATGCTACACTCAAGAGCATCTCCAAATGATGAAAGATAACATTTCAGTGGGATTAATTTGTCCTGTACCCATTACCAAGAAATCTGAAAGCCAAATTTTGATAGTATAAGCTTCCACTGTCTTGTTTGGTATCAAATAACGATGTAAATACAGCAACACAGCACTTCCCCCTTATCTTTGTGAGTCAACGTGCATAAGAGTGCAGCTATCCTCTCAGCCATCTTTCTCCGGCCCCTCGAGGGGATTATACACATTTGTGTGTATATGCATACTTGGCGTCAAAGAGGGTAACATGTATATAATGCCAAATACAGATAAACTACTCAGCCCTGGGGACTAGTTGCTGTTGTACTTTTGCCTGGTGTTGGTAACGTTTGTGTTCAAAGCTGAGGCTTGCCAACGGAGGTCGATTATTCTGACATTGTCACCACTATGAGATTTCGAATATGAAACAGTGGAATTTATGCATTGGACTTGATGTTAGAAGCAGAGTTCCATGGATTCAATCAAATTGTTACTGAGTATCACACATTTTGACCGCAACATTTGAAGATTAGATGAAGGAATATCATTTACAGTAGTCGCATTCCTGTTTTGGTCTCAAAGACTGTTTGTTTTGCAAAATTATATGTTCCCCTGAGATGAGAAAATGTTCAGTTCATGCAAAACAAAATTGAAAGCTACACTTTTGGTTCGAGAAATTTGTATGAATAATTCAACGAGGTGTGTCATTCACGAAAATTTTCTGCATCACATCAGACTTCTTGATCTATCATCACTAGAGGATGGAAAATTATCTGCAAAATGCAAATTCTCAAAGTCATGAGACCCATGATTCATTGAATTCTCTCATCATTCATATTCATAAATTTCGTCGATTCAAATAAATGAATTACAATCCGTAGGACACAGATTCCAAATTCAATTTAATTAAACACGTCACACCTCTTCCGAATGTTGAATGAAACGTGAAAAAAGTATGACCAAAATATTCTGCATCAGACCCATAACATAGAACAAAGCAATGAAGTTACAGAAAAGTTTCCGTCGAATCCCTCAAACCATGATTCATCAACCTAAATTAAATATAATCAGAGTGTTTTCGGCACCGCATTAACACACAGCACTGTCAAAACGGCTCTCAGAAATCCGTGTCACCTCTCTTGGAGCTTTCGCATAAACTAGGATTCGAAAGCTTGTCGAATAATTTTGACGGACTAACGGACCAGTCAAGCACACAATTCCACCGCAGTATAAAAGAGCTTGCTGAGTTGAGCTTTAGTAGATTTGTTAAAACCATTTTCATCCAAAAATTTGTACGAGCTATGAATCTCGTTTGATTAAAAGTACACAGCGGTAATTGAAATGATAAGACAGTCCCTGATTGGAGATCGATGGCCATGATTTTGTCTCAGGAATTCATTTGATATCCTGCACACAACACAAGTAAAAAAATCTCCGAATTAAAAATGCCAAGAACTAGTAATTAATCCCTCATCACCAAAACGTTCGAAGAATTACACCATTCAGATAACCATGTCACCATAGTTTTCACCAGTGTCTCGGTTGTAGTCAACCGACGCTCGTCTCATTTACATCAGAATCCAATTAGCTGTCGGGGCTCTTTAGAGCAACTCCTTGAGGTACCGTGATAAGACAGTTAACGTGCAGGAGCCTTGGGCTGAGGAATAGATGAATGGAGATTTAACGGATCACTGACTGTGACACAATCATACCGATGATTACACGAGAAAAAAAAGACGAGGAAAAATTAGTGAGATAATCAAGTAATGGTGCACTGTTGAAAATTTTCGCTACGATTTTTGCAAATTTTTAACGCAGGTTCATTGAAATTTCAAGGAATTCTGTAGTTAAAAACTCAAACTTCTATGGGAGAATCGATGGAAAGACGAATTCCTGTCCGAACAGGAGTTCATATCCAGCTGGAAATTCATGTCTGGGAAGAATTTTATTTTCAGACAGAAATTCCTGTCTGAGTATAACATTAAAAATTCATGAGAATTAATATAAATCAGAATTCCTGCCCGAACAGGAATTCATGTCCTAGTAGAAATTAACGTCTAGGAAGACATTTGTGTTCAGACAGAAACTCCTGTCTAACTTCAATAATTCATGAAAATTAATGTAAATCAGAACTCCTGTCCAGACACGAATTCCTACTTGAACAAGAATTCATGGCCAGATACAAATTAATATTCAGACAGAAAATCTATGAACATGAAATCTATAACATGAATTCATGTTCAGCCATGAATTTGTATCCAGTTACAGTTCCACTGAAATTCCAAGGAATTTCAAAATTGGAACTTCACAATTCCATAAAAAAATAGATGGAAACAATCAATTTTAGTTCAATCATTTAAAAAAATTCAATCAATCACTTAAAAAATTAGTGGAAATCAGAATTCCTGTCCGGATATGAATTCCTGTCCACATGAACTTTTCTAGATTCTGCTCCGAATTTTTCCTCAATTTCTCTCGTAGAATTTACATTTATTTCTTCACCGTAACAGGAAGAGTGATCACTCCCCCAATAAAAAATACTCAACAACTCCAGTTTCTCCACACGCCAAAACTGAAATCTGGAGTTGAATATTCCTTTCTCCGAACATGAAGGTCCAAAGGGGTATCCGAAACGGTTGAGCGGAGTAGCTTGCATAATTCAGTGTTCATTAAACCGTTGGCAGCCGTCGACGTGGCTTTTAGACTTCAAATATCCCGGGGGTCGACCTAATTCTAGAAAAAGGGGTGGAAATGAATGGGTGAAACATTTCCAAAACGCTGTAAGTACTTCCTTCGGGGGTAGACACTTCAATTTCGGTGTTTAACTGGTTTTTTTTCAGGGGGGATCACTCTTCCGTGTGGGAGTTTGTGTACAGATTAACCGAGTCCAAGTGGCAATAGTGCATTAACGACTTGATGCAAGGAAGTTTTGTTTTAACTATTATAGATTGAGAGAAATCCATACCGAGTGACGAGTGCGGAGTTTTTCGTTCAAAGCCATGTCCACGGAGAGAAATATTCAGCAAAAATTACGGAACAATTCACGTAATCCGCAATGGGGAATCGTTTTCCGGCAATTTTTATAGGAATGAAAGAGAAGAAATCTGAAAGGTTCGGGGAATTGTCAGGTTCATCACCGAACAAAGTACAAAATTGTCACGTAATTTTTCCCGAAGAAGTAAAATCTTACAGAAACTTGCCGACTTATTATGCCTCCAAAATCAAAAATTCTTGAACGTTCAACAATTTTAATGAAGCTGGTGAATTATTTCTACGTTCCGTTCTGTAAAATTTCTCAATCGTTGGGGGAAAAATACGGAACGACTTGTTGTCCCCACAGCGGTGAGTTATCAGACGGGTGGTTAATTTTTACGGAACAAATCGTAGAATTTATTCGAAGCGTAATTTGTACTTTTCTGGTAATTTTTATAATAATGACAGTTTACATTAAAAAAATTCCCATTCGTTTCAATAATATTTTTGTCAAAAATCAATAAATTCATACATTAAGTTCAATGGAAATGTTTTAATTACAAAAAATAAATACTTAATCCATC